ACGAGGGGCTGGATCCTCCTTCCCGTTCACACCGACAGGCTGGGTGTCAGCTGCCGCGGCATCTGTTCTTGTCAGAAAAATTAAGAGGGGAGTGAAAGAAGCTGAAGCCCTGGAAATATGGGCCGGGAGGGAACCTGGGTCTGGAGGCTCGGAGGGCCCTCCCGCCTCCCCGGGGCAGGGTGGGGTGCACCTCAGGGGGGGGGGCAGCTCTGGCCAGCGTGGACGCAGCCTCCCACAGCATTCTCTGCCTTTCAAGGGGAGGGAGGTGAGCAGCGTGGCCTCAGGCAGGCTGACTCCAGCTCCGGACTGCCCAGCTGTGCTTGTGCAGGTTGCTCGGGCCTCTGTCCCTTAGTTTCCTCCACTATACAGTGGGACCACGATGTGGTGAAAGGTCAATGATCTAATGTGTGTCGAGTGGGAGGAACAGAGCCTTGCTGGGCGGCAGAGCCAGAGTCGGGCAGGCTGGAGAGTGCTTCATTCTCTCTGCCAACCTTTAGTGACTGTAGACCTTGCACTTGGGGACCTCTGGTCGCATGGGAGAGGCAGGCCCGTAAACAGGATTTTTATTACAAGTGGGCGTGCGACGTTCTGGAAAAGAGGAGGAAGCAACTAATGGACATGGGGTGTGGCCGATAGAGGAAACCCGGGAAGGCTTCCTGGAAGTGGCAGGAGCAGAATGTGGAGGAATGTGAGTTTTCAGGCAGCTCCAGGGTGTGAGACCTCCCACGGAGTCTGGGCAGCAGGAGCTAGGCTGTAAGGGGCCTGGGAAGCCATGTTCAGGAGTCTGGGGTTTATCCTAAGACCACTGGGAGCCCTGGGAATGTGGAGGAGACAAGGATGCCTTTGGCCTGAGAGAGATGGCTCAGGCAACTGTTGGAAGGACAGGGGTGGGGGAGGGCGGAGGTGCCTTGCTCAGCTCCCTCCTCACTCCTCTCTGTAACCTCAGCTGCCTCCGGCCAGCCCAGGTGACTGTACTGTCTTCCTGCCTGGCATCTACTGAGCAGATGAGCAAAGGTCCCAGGCTGGGCCTCAGTGGGAGGTGCAGTGCTGTGGGCTGAGGCCTCTCACAGAGGATTTGGGAGCTTCCTTTCAAGACCGGGAGCTCCTGGCTCCCCACTCTCTCAGCCTTGGGTGAGTCGTGGTTGCGGAAGTATCACGCAGGTAGTGGGGCTGGGCTGGCTCCGTCCAGCAGGGGGCAGTCGCAGTGCGCGAATGGGCATCCCCTCCTGGGCTCCGCACCGGCCTGGCTCTTCGCAGAGTGGCCTGGGGAGGATTTCTGGTGCCCTCCCTAGAGCAATTGAACCAGAGTCTAGGGGGTGGGGGGCAGGGCAGGAGGGCAGGGTCAGTGGGACCCAGGCTTCAGTAACTAAAACAACTTCCTGGGGTTTCGAATACACTCAGACTCACCTGGCTGCAGGGTGTAAGTGAGCTGACAAGCGCTGGGCTGGCTGTGCCTTCTGGGGGCTGGAGTGGGGCCATGAAAGATTGAGCAGGACACACTGCAGAGCTACCTCTCCCACCCGCGCCAGGAGGAGGTGTGGAGAGAGGGCTGCAGCATGTGTCCAAGCATTGCATATGCACAGAGACCCTCTGGTGGGGCTGCGGTCACCTCCTGGCTTGCTCTGCCTGCATGGACACACGGGCTTTGCTGCTGTGCCTGGGCTTGGGTACTGGAGCGGGGCGCTGAGCTTGCAGCTGTGAGCTGTCTCGGTGCCCGCTTGTATGGTTCTCCTTACCTGTGTGTCTTGCATTCCCATCTCTCACATGAGAGTCTGCCTGGTGACTGGCCTGCATGGCCTGCGACCTTTAGGAAGCAATGACAATTTAAAACATTATTTAATTTATGCATACAAGAGCTGGGGTGCAGGCCAGAGACGCAGAGGGTGAGAGGATTCAGCAGAGACACAGTGGGGAGCAGAACAGGCAGACTGGCAAAGTACACTGCTGAGGGGAGCAGCAGGCAAGACAGGAGAGGTCTGCCGTGCCACGTGGGTCACCTCCCAGGCTGGGACTTGAACTTGCCCTGCAGTGGCTGTGGCTAGCTTCACAGTGCTGTGTCTTAACCCCTTGCGCCACCGGGGAGGCCCTCAATGACACAGTTGAAGTTCTGCTATTTGAAGGCTCCTGTGTGACCTCCCCAAAGACCACACACAGGTGAATTCTGTGTGGACACAGTGAAAGGTCCACCATAGCCTCTCCAGACAGTGTCTCCTGTTGGCCTGCAGGCGGGCAGCAGGCCTTGCTGGGAGAAGTGATGTGGCTGGTGGCAGGTCCCTGTGTGCCCATAGAGCATGCCAGGCCCACCGAGTTGCCCAGCCACCATCGTGAGAGGGCTGCAGGGCCGGGTGAGGACCTTCCAGGCAGGCCGGCTGCTCGACACCACTTTATATCATTGGTGCAGCATTTATTTAGTGGAAGGGCTGAAAGAGATTCTGTTAGTGGGAAAAAAAGAACTGATTGCATGCACCAAGCATTCCATACATTTTTTTTAGAATTGCCTCTGCTATCAGAGTTTGCCCATCATTTGTAATTGGAGATACATTGTCATTCACTCTAAGGATGGAGGTAACTTATATAGATGTGGTTATGAAGTTTGTTCCCACAGAGAGGTTCAGGCATTATTTGGCTTGAGAATTTCAGCTGCTCTGCAAGGTCACATTTAGAGTAAACAGATATTACCTTTTTGTGAGCTAGAAAAAGGAAGTTCAGACAGCTCCAGCCTGGTGGCTGTGTAGCTTCGGGGTGGAGGGAGCGGCACCCCTGGGCCTTACCAAGCCCTGGGCTAGATGGTGGGGTTACCTGCAGGTACATGCGTGGTGGGGCAGATCAGGCTTACAGGTGTGAGGGTGGCTTGAGTAGGGCGTGCGCTGGACTGGGTGTCGTGGGGAAGGGTTTCGTGTGGGTGGGAGTTGTCTGTGGAGAGTGGGGCAGGGAATGCTGTGAGTGTGGTGGAGTGCAGAACAGGGGAGCAGTTATGTATGTGTTGGTGGTGTGCACCTCCCATTGGTTTGGGTAGTTGGGTGCGCTGTACCTGTGAGGGGGCGTTGGGTGTGTGCGAGTGTACATGTCCATGAATGGTGTTCCTGGGGACAGTCCAACAGCTCGCCCTCTCAGCTTGCTCCACAACTGGCCCGGCCTTGCACAGGCCTCCCCAGGAACCCTCCCCATCTCAGGCTGCAGCCTCTGGGGGCTCTGACCTGCTGCTCCCCCTCCCTAATGCCCGTGTGTGTGTTGGGGTTGCAGGGTCCTGTCTGTGGCTTGAAGGAACTAGTCCTTTAGGTGGGAGGGACAGTTGGCTCTTTGCATAGCGCTTGGCCCTGGCCCGAGTTCTGTCCGCTCCCCACTCCCAGCCCAAGCCACTGTTACGGCCACTGGCATCTGAACTACTGTAGTGGCTTTGATCTGGCCTCCCTGCTCCCCTTTCCCCCCAACAGATTCTCTGCACTGTAGCCAGATTGTTTTCTAAAGCTCAAATCAGGCTCATCCCTCCATACTTCAAACCCTTCAATGACTCCTCATCGTCTGTAGGATGGAGGCAAGGTCCTCAGCCGAGCTCCCCGGGCCTCCCATAACTGAGTCTTATCTGGGTCTCTACCTCACCAGCTCCCCCCCACCCCCGTGGCCACCATGCCAAGAGCAGCTGCTCTTTCTGCTGTGGCCTCCCTCACCCAGCCCAGGCAGGGCGAGCTTGTTGCTTCCCTCCCGGAGAGCCTACGAGCTTTCCAGGCAGAGATATTTTACGGCTTTTCGCTCAGCGCTCGCTTACAGCTCTGCACAGCCATGGTGCATTGGGCCTTGCGTCCTTGCCCACCTGTGGCCTCCTTTGGGGCCACCTCAGGGCTGCTCCTGAGCCAAAATGGGGCCTCAAGATCAGGCTTTTACTTCTGGGGGCGGGGGGCAGCCTGAGCAGAGCGCCAGTGCCCACCTTAAGCCTGGAGGGGTGATGACTGGCGCTCGTGCTATTTCTCTCCTCCCTCCATCCAGGCCACTGGCTGGCCTGGGCTGCTCTGCCTTCAGGGAGGTGTATGCCATGACAGGAGTGGCCTTGGTATGGCATGTCCCTGGAGGGGCCCTGTACCCTGAACTGGAGCCTCTCCACGGGATTCAAGTGGTTGTCCTGGTGTGAGTGGGGAGAGAGAACTGAAAAGAGAGGGCGGGTCCCATCTGACTAAAGGGAGGACCTTTATGGACTCAAGAGATTGGCCAATGAGGAAGGTCTGGGGTTCTCTGGGCACAGGGTACTTGGTGGTTCCCTGGCCTTAGAGAAAGGAGCGTGTCCAGGGACAGTGGGGTTCTAGCCTGTGCATGCCAGGGAGGTCATGGCTCCTGCTCTGTGGGCGTCAGACCCACACAGGGACTGCGCCCACTGTCGGGAGGGGACGCAGGACCGTGGTCACCACGTGACACGCTGACTGGACCAGTCTGAAGGTTTCCTGGGGCTGTGAGCTAGTCCTTGTGGGGTGCTCGTTTGCATCCTGCACCCACAGAATCTCCGCCAGCTGCCTCCCCCTTTTGTCGTAGAATTCCCCCAAGCGCCTCCTTGAGCAAGCTGCTGATGGAGTATCTTCACTGGTGTATGGACCCTTGTTTTGTACATTAAAACGCTCAGGTTTTGTTTTCATTTAAAAAACTATAATTTAGTTCTGCTGGTTTTGTTTTGCTCCTTGACAGTTCTCAATAAACATCAACTGTGATCTAGAAATCTGTCTGCCTGCTTAAGTGCAAGCAATACCCCACCCCCTGCTGCAGACCAGCGCCACTACCACTGAGCCCCATGCTTTCCTCCAAGGACCATGTTTGGGGCTAGGTTAGGGACAGGTGTGTAAAGGTGGGGGTTCTCTTACCCAAAGAGAGTGAAGCTATTTACCTTGGAGCAGACAGGGAACGGAGAGGCAGCCATGAGGGGTCCCGCTGAGGAGACAGGAAGCGACAGTGTGAGGAGGGCCTCCGGGAAGGGGGAAGCTGCACTGCCTGCTAATTAATGCCTGGTTTCTTCTCAGGGGAGCTCCTGGGTGCCTGTGCTGACATCCATCAGAAGCACCTGCTCGCTCTGACCTCCCAGAGTGAGGAGACCACAGTCTGTCTTGAGCTGTGGTGTTGATTCCTTTTGGTTTACCTAATTCAGCATGCTGGACTGTGCCAGACTTGAAGGTAAAAGAATGAGCAAGTTAGATTTAGTTTGAATTAGTAGTTTGGTGCGACAACAGGCTGGTAGAGACAAATTGAAAATACATGCTGCCTGAGCTGGACTGGTGGGGAGCAGCAGCCGGGGATTCTCACCCAGACTGGGGGAGGAGTCGTAGGGGTGGTAGGGAAATATTTCATGTGGGGCTGGTGTGTGCTAGAGGCAGAGGGCTGGGAGCCTGTAGCATACTTCCCTGGGGCACAGAGACTTCTGGAAGTCCGTGGGAGATGCTAAGGATGGGAGCCAGCGCTCTGGGCTGGGTTGAGCCATGCAGGGCTTTGGAGGTCTTCTGTTAAGAATTGGGACTTCACCTAGGGAAGCACACAGTCATTGAAGGTGACCGAGATGGTTATATGTCAGTCTGGAAAGAACATCCTGTCGGGTGTGGAGGGTGGTAACTTGCGTGCTGGGAAAAAAGTGTTTTGCCAATTTCTGTGGTGTAAATACTCCCACCCCCATTGACAACAATTGTTACCAGTGGTCGTCACTGAATGCAGAGGTGAGCTGTTGATCTGACTACAGGGCTGGTACCTGACTCTTGCAATGGAGTGGGAGGGAGCAGGAGACCTTTTTTCTCTTACTGGGGTGGGTGAGCTAGCCAGACCAACTCTCTTTTCCCTGTCTCCTATCCCAGCGCTGAGCCCTGCTCATGCACTAGGTTAGTACCAAGGTCCAGGAATATCCTGGGAGGACAAACAAGCACCCACAACAGCATCCCATCCCATTTCCCGGAGGCCTCCCTGGAACCAGCTCTCAGGAGGAAGTCAGAGGCAGGAAAGGGTGCACCATGTGATCACATTTCAGGGCTGAGGACTGGAGAAGAGCATGCCCGGGATGGGAGGCTGATGAGCTGATGATAATAATTATGACAATTATGCAAAATACACAAATAATAATTACAGAAAATCATGATTATTATTTGTGGGTGTGAGTTGTCTCCAGCTTTTGGGAACAGCACAGAAGCTTCAGATGCCCCTTTTCCCGTGGGTGTGAGTATCATAGCCGAGCTTGGGGCTATGTGGCAGGAGCTGGGGTTTATTCCCCTCTTCAGACAACTGTCTCCTGCCTCAAGTTTTGGTGGGTGCCAGGCCTGGGTGGGCCAGAGAGCATGTTCGGGAAAGATAAGGCCACTCACTGGTCCCCATCTCAAAATCTCTCGAAGGACACAGCCACCAGGGCAGTGATTGACCTGAAGAATATTCTTAGGAACTGTGTGTCCCTCCCACCAGCTGCTTTTCTGGCTCATGGCTGATTGGGTATCTGACCCAGGTAGGGTCAGATTTTCTTTTCTGGAAATGTAGTCCTGGGCCTGGGAGAAGGCAGGGTTAGGAGCTATCACTGGGAAGCACGGAGAAGGAAGGTTCTACCCAGTGGACCACAGAGAGAAAGGACTGATTCCTGGTGGCCTTCAGCATTCCAATTCCACTCCTTTCCATGACATTTCCTGGATCTTTGTAGTAACTACCCACCCCTCCATGCCTGAGAGTGGGGTATTTTTACTTGCAAGATCCTAAGCAAAGAGCCTTGACGGTCTGGTTTTATGGATGAGTATGGGTCATACTCACACGAGACTCTAGTGGCATCATGAGGACATTCTTATGGAAACCCAACAAGAGGAGCTGTCTCAGGGTGGGAAACTGAGGCAGACTGGGAACTGAAGGGAGTTGCTTGACTTCATTGTCTGCTTTTTCTGTTCTGCTATCAATTAGCCAATTCTCTTTTTTTCTTCTATGGTCATTTAAACTCCCGAGAGAAGGAATCCGAATGGCTCAGCTGATCACATTGTCTCTATGTAGAACCTTTTGCATCAGGCCATGTGATAGGCTTTTAGATGGCCAATGGCTAGGCCACTCTTGTTTCAGGTGCTTATTCTCGATCCAATCAGATGGTAGCTTCTAGCTGCCAGCCTTTGGCAGGGGCATTCAAACTGACTTGTTCCATGTGACTGCAAGGCTTGCAGGTGATGGTGAGTGCTGGGAAGTTTTGAGGACATGATTGATCAAAGTGGGAATTTGGAAAGATTAATCTGGCCATAGAAAAGAGGATGACTAGAGATGGAGAGGGCTGGCAGGGAAGCCAGGCTGCAGCTTCTAGCCCAGGGGCAGATGATAAGCTGAGCTGCCAATCTTGAGGGTGGAACTGGTGGGGACAGGGCGGGGAGAGAGGCCCCCAGGGTTGGCACTCGCAGGAGCTCAGCAGGCCTCCTGAAGTTTGTCTCCCTTGTCGCACCCTAGTTCTAGCCCTGGGTGGCAGGACTGGAGAAGACACCTGCATTGATAAGACTTGGTAACTGGTGGTTGCAAGTGGTGAGGGAGGGGAACCCTCCTTTTGCGGGCAGATGGTGAGGCTTCTGGTTGCTGACCTAGAGGCCTGGGCGGCCAGGGGAGGCATGAAGAGGGAGGGGCAGGTTTACGGAGGAGGCAAAGTTCATCTCAGCTGATGAGAATGCTGGGGTTCAGGAGCCTGCAGGCCACAGAGGGCGAGATTTCTAGTGGAGGGAGGGGAAGGTGGGTTTGAAGTTGGAGGGAGAATTGGAGCAGGAGGTGACCTTTGCTAGTCTCAACCATAGGGGTGAGTGTGTGATGCCACCGGTGCTGGGCACGGGGCTTGGGCTCAGGCAGTGTTTGATAAACAATACTGCACGTCATGGGAGGGGACTTGGTGCTTTAGGGTATTTTGTAGGGAAGCTTAGGTCTCTAGAGGCGAAATTTCAGGCAGTGAACAAGAGGGTTAGGGGATACTTGTGGATAAGAGAGTCTGTTGGGTTTCTTTAGATGACCTCAAGACAGATTCCACCATCTGCCTTGCCCTGAAGGATGTCTGGTGCTGATGCCTGGTTGAGGAGCAAAGATTAGGGCTGCTCCCTATGCTCCACTGTGAAGCTCTCTGCTCTCCTAAGAAGAGGCCTTTTGATAATCACAGACTGTGCTCGGTCATCAGTGCACTCAGAGCCCCATCCTCTACATCCGCGTAGTGTTTTGGAGATGATTTCACATTCATGAGTTCACTGGTGCCCTGTACTTCCCTTGTGAAGGAGAGCAGGCAGGGCTTGTCATCCTCATTCTACAGCTGAGGCCCACAGGGGTTAAGTGATTAGCTGAGAGTCACATAAGGGGTCAAAGGAGGCAGAACTGGGATCCAGTCCCCCAGATCTAGAGGCCATCATGTATTGTAGATGTTCCTTAGATGTATCTAATAAGGTCACTTTGAGTTATATACACGGCTAATGTCTATTAAGGTCTTCTCGTGTGCTGGGTGCTACCCTTTACGTTTAAACCTCATTTAAGTCTCACAACAAGTCTATGAGGTAGGACTATCCCCTGTCTATTGGCAAGAATAAAAGAGACAGATGACGCCCAGTTCTAACAATGGTGTGCGAAGAGGGCTCTTGGCATCTATCACAGGATCGAGAATTGCTCCAAATGTTAGGAAACAAAATCAGCACCAGCAATTAAAAATGCTAATATGAATACCTTCTGATTCACAAATCCTTTTGGGAATCCCGCCTATAGGAATCAAAGCATCAGAACATAAGTATAAATGTACAAAGACATTACAGCACTGTGTGGGGATGAAAATGAAACCCTTGCGCATCCATCAAGAGGGAAATGGTTAAATGACTCCGACTCAGTTCTGCTGTGGATGGTTACACAAGCAGCGAGGAGGGGAAGTTGCAGCCATATGCACTGACCTGGAGGCTGTCCATGATTTATTAAGTGAGCAAAGCAACTTTGGAGTAATGTGAATCCTGCATTTTTTATTAAATAAATAGAAAGAAATTAAAAGGAAGAAAAGCCCATGTGGTTTTTATGCCAGTCTATAAAATGACATGAAGGACACTTACCATCTGTTGTGGCCTCAGGAAGATGAAATGGAAGATAGGGTTGGAGGAGGATTAACTTTTCACCTTCTTATACTTTACTCAGCTAAGGTTACCTGGGACAGTCGTGGGGGACTTCATGGAGGAGGTGACATTTGAGCTGAGTCTTGAAAGCTGAATGGGAGTTTGCCCGTCAGTGAGGTTGGGAGGGGCTAACACTTAAGGCAGAGATGCCGGGAAAGGGCCTGTGTGACTGCTGCTTACTAGCTGTGTGCCTGAGCCTCCCTGGAGAGTAAATGGAATAATGCACAGTGGCCCTCGGCTCCTGCTCCTGTGGACTGGACTAACTCTTACTGTGTGTTGGGACACAGATGAAGGACCATGTGGCCTGCATCTGATCACCATCTGCCATATCTGGGGCATCAAGTTGCTTCAGAACTTTACCCCAAAGTCACTCAGAAACATCCGCCAGGACGGCAGGGAGCCATCTGCAGTGTCCCAGGTGAAGGGTATCTCTCAGATGGGATTTCTAGCACCAGCTGAATTTTAAAAAATGTCTTGTCATGGGCCCTCCCTGGTGGCGCAGCGGGTTAAAGCACTGCACTAAGAAGCTTAAGCCATTTCCGCATGAGTTCGACTCCCGCCTGCCCCGGAGGAGACCACATGGCGTGGCAGACCTCTCCTGACCCGCCCGCTGCTCCCCTCAGCAGTGTACTTAGTCAATCTGCCTGTTCTGCTCCCCACTCTGTCTCTGGTGAAGCCTCTCACCCTCCGCATCTCTGGCCTGTACCCCAGTTCTGTATGAATAAATAAATAAATCTTTAAAAAAAAAAGTCATGACTTATCTCTAGTTTGTAAATGAAATTGGTCCCCAGAAACATACATGTGACCCGTGTGCCCTAGGTATGAAGAGTGGAGCAGGGGTGAGACTGAGGGTGGTGGGTCTGTGGGAAAGGCCTCTGCCTCCCCATCTCCTGCTTTCTTCCTCCCTCCTTTCCTTCAACTCCCCGAATGACATCCCTCCCTCCTCCCTCCTCCCAATTCCCTTTGCCTCCGCTTGCACCTTCAGGGATTGGGGGGCACAGAGTATCTGGCTGTGGTCAGTTGGCTGGACATGCATGACCCTCCTCACCTCCTCCTGCACTC